ACATATTTTTAATTTCTTTGAAATAAATTGAGGTTTTGTACAAAATTATCTTGTCCTTCTAAAATTCTTCATACATTCATTCTAGTGTGTAGTTACTTGTTGTGGTAAAACTAGGGTTGTTTGTGTGTGTGTGTTCTTTTACTCAAGTAAAACAAGCCTATGTATATAATTCCTTTGTCTTAATTAAGCCAGTCGCCATAGGTGCATTAGGCAGAAAGAACAAATATAAGCTGTGTGGAATAATGAAAGAAGTGCAGCTGATGGTGTCAAACATGTTTCTGCTATAAGGAGATAAAAGCTTGGATTATTTTTTGTTTTAGAATATCACTTGGAAGCACGCTTTTGTGCTACCTTTACTTGTTTAACACACACAAAATTAATATGCTTCAAATTGTTTTCAGAACTTGTTTGCAAAATGTCTTTAAAGCAGTTATTTTGACAACCTTTATAATGTTTAAATTAATCACAACATAAATATATAGGGGGAAATGGATATCTTTCTTCTGTTAAAGAGGGGCTGGACAAATCCCTGGATCATCACAATGTTTTATCAACATTAACTATTTTGTTTCGACTGAACAATTTCGTGAAGCTCACCCTGCCCCCCAGTTTTTAGTTTATTAAATGAGATTGTAAAAAAATATTTTATTAGCTTCAGGAAATAAATATATGATTAATTTTGCAAGGTTGAAAAAAAAACAGAATGTAGTAACATGATAGCACAAAACTTTAAAACTGGAAAAAGCATTTCTCAAAAACCAACAATTCTAAACAGCAATATGCCAGTATTGATAAGAAAAATAGATTTTATTGTATCTCTGGATTTTTTTTTTTAAGGGGACTCTGTTATCTTACGAAATTTCAGTCTAAATAGCAAGACAGCTTAATTATATTTGCCATGTAATTCTTTTATGGTCAGATGAGCTTTTATGAGTTGAAATACATTTGTGGTTTGTTTTTTTTACTGGACATTGCCTTGCAGCTAAATAAGTGTATAAACAAGGAAGGGAAGAAGGCAGAAAACTGAGCCCATAAACATGTAGATTTCCCTAAAAGGATATTGTAAAATAATGATTATTTGGGCTCTAAATCTCAGTCAGTGGGTCACTTCTTAGTAAAATATTCATTCATGCCATTTTTCTCTCTACATTTTTTAGGGATTATTCATGCATACATTCTTCACTTTTGAATTTTTTACTTGGAAAGAGACGTGAAGCTGACAATCCTCTTATCAGCGTTTCTCCACTGATAAAAACAACAACACTGCAGCAGAGGTGAAAGGAATATAGGAAGAAGCCATAATGGGCGTACTATGTTTATGCAAAGACTGGAAATTATGCTAATCTGTGTCCTATAAAAATAATGCAAAGAGTGGTATACTTTGATTTGATCTTATGTATTCATGGGTCCTTTTATTCTGCTGCTAATTGCAGGGAAGGCAGCATTGCAGAGGCCAATGGGAGGTTTAACCTCGCCTTAAAAACATTGTGGTTCTATCTCAGTACAGATCCCTTCCCCACTTACTGTTAATTTCTTTATTTTTTTAACCATTATGAGAACATCATTTGTATTTGAGACCTTAAGGTAAGGAACAGTCAGGTCTATTTAGCCTAAGTCCACTATAGTTTAAAGTGTAAAATCTACCACAGTTCAGAAGCATCATACCTGTGGCTGCAAATCCATACTCACCTGGGAATAAACCCCATTGGATTAATTGTGACTTACTTCTGAGTAGACATTTTAGGATCACACTTTTCCTTGGCTGCATCACATTATAGTGCAGATGTAAGGAACCTGCAGCCCTCAGGCGCCCTCGTGGCGCAGTGGTTAAAACGCTGTACTGCAATTGTATTTCGGACCTTAAGGTAAGGAACAGTCAGGTCTATTTAGCCTAAGTCCACTATAGTTTAAAGTGTAAAATCTACCACAGTTCAGAAGCATCATACCTGTGGCTGCAAATCCATACTCACCTGGGAATAAACCCCATTGGATTAATTGTGACTTACTTCTGAGTAGACATTTTAGGATCACACTTTTCCTTGGCTGCATCACATTATAGTGCAGATGTAAGGAACCTGCAGCCCTCAGGCGCCCTCGTGGCGCAGTGGTTAAAACGCTGATCTACCACAGTTCAGAAGCATCATACCTGTGGCTGCAAATCCATACTCACCTGGGAATAAACCCCATTGGATTAATTGTGACTTACTTCTGAGTAGACATTTTAGGATCACACTTTTCCTTGGCTGCATCACATTATAGTGCAGATGTAAGGAACCTGCAGCCCTCAGGCGCCCTCGTGGCGCAGTGGTTAAAACGCTGTACTGCAAGCTAAAACTGTGCTGTGCTCCGATGTAAGGAACCTGCAGCCCTCAACATGTTGCTGGCCTGTTCCCAACAAGTCCACACAGAGGCCACAGAGGATAAGAGCTCCAATATCAGAAGGGGACACAATTTCCTCACCTCGTGCCTATTTCCAAGTAACATCCCTCAGATGCAGGGGGCGGTATATAAGTCCAATAAATAAATAAAATAAATAATAAATAAACATGTTGCTGGCCTGTTCCCATCAAGTCCACACAGAGGCCACAGAGGATAAGAGCTCCAATATCAGAAGGGGACACAATTTCCTCACCTCGTGCCTATTTCCAAGTAACATCCCTCAGATGCAGCAAGGTGTAAGAATTCCCAAAGGAATGGCTTTTACATATTCTTGCAAAAGCCTTGTGACATTTTAAAAGATTCTGGCCAATACTCAGTTGCTGATTTCCACTCCTGCGATGTTGTACAAGTGGTTGTGCTGTTTGATGAGGTGTCTTTTGTGTGGCTAGTTGTGCAGCTAACTGGTCATGTCTCTTCTGTGGCTGACTGCACAACCAATAACAAAAGACATCTCACCAAATTGTCTTAAATCCTTGCACAACTAGAGTTTTACATATGGAAATGCCCAACAGGATACTGGCCTGAAATGCTTTACAGTATTTGGCATTTGCTATATCTGATGAAGTGTGCTCCAGTCCACAAAAGATTATTGCTAGTAGAACTTATCAGTCCTTAAGGTGCCACAAATTCTTGTTTAAGGTGTAGGAACTATATGAATGTTAAAAATTAACAGAAAATACTCCCTTAATCTTTCTGACATGGCTTTTAAATTAAGAGAAAATTCAAATGGAAGTTGCTGGAGACACATGTAGGTACTCCACATATCCCATGCAACATTTAAAAAGTTCCATGTGCTGATCTGAAACACAGTGGCCAAAATCCTTTTATGTAACTTTTGCCAGCATAGAGGAAATGATGTTCACCATAATTAGAGTCCCCTGCCCTGACAATTCACCATGTGGTTCTTCAGTTGCATGCCAGTTACATGGCTCCTCACACAATCCAGGAGCCACACAGGAATTCTTTGAATTGTACATGACAAGGAATTCCATGAGGAGCCACAGAAGAGTCTTGAACTCATAATCTGCTGCTGTGCTGACATAATTTCCTCTACATGGACATGTGTTTAGCACAAGAGAACTTTGGCCAGTGGGTTCTTAACCCAGAGTAATTCTGGGAGTTCCACGAACCACTGGTGTGCAGATATTTTAGTGCTTTATGTCACATTTCCTACTTCCCACATAATGCTCAAAAGCAGCTGAAGCGGAGGAGATGTACAGAAAGGTTTTTCGCACATGTGGAGGACATGCTCAGGGAGGCTTTTTGGAGGTGATTCAGAAAAGGGGGGTTGCCTTCCACTCTTGCACAAAGCATCCTATCTGTAAGTCAGATAGAATTCCCACAATGGGGAATTATGGGATTTGTAGTACAAGAATTTTTTTAAAATCCCCTTATTTCTGCCCTTCAAGAAAAAGATCTTTCTGGCCTCTACATTTTGATGGCTTGGGTCAAAGACCAAGCCTCCTTTCTGCTCTGAAGGCCCAAGATCAGATATTGAAAACTGTGGTGGTATATTGATGCTCACATGAGCTTTTATAATCTTATGAAGGCTTTTCAGTTTTCTCATGACAAAGGCTTTTACCATGAAAGAGATTTCAACCTAATGTTTATACCACAGAACGTACAATCATGCTAATTGTGACATATAATATCCTGTTCCTTTTTGCGGATCTTAACAGTGCTGCGGGTTAAACCGCAGAAGCCTCTATGCTGCAGGGTCAGAAGACCTGCAGTCGTAAGATCGAATCCACACGACAGAGTGAGCTCCCATCGCTTGTCCCAGCTCCTGCCAACCTAGCAGTTTGAAAGCATACAAAATGCAAGTAGATAAATAGGTACCACCATGGTGGGGCTAGTCGCGCTAGCCATGTGACAACAGAATATTGTCTTCAGACAAACACTAGTTCTATGGGTTGGAAACAGAGATGTGCACTACCCCCTAGAGTTGGACACAAGTGACCATATTGTCAAGGGGAACCTTTACCTTTAACAGCTCTGCAGGCCGAGCAGTCTACCTGAGCCCTGCTGATCCTCCAGCTTCTGCAGGCCAAGCACTCTACCTGAGCCCTGCTGATCCTCCAGCTTGTACAGTAATTGCAGAGCCAGAGATGGCCTCATAGCTCTTCGTATAGGTGCCACTCATGCAACGGATTGCTGAATTCTGCCTTGTGTGAGTAGCTGTGAAAGAGGAACCCTGCATGTTCTGCAGTGTGTTTACAGCAAACAGGGTGGCAGTTGTGATTTTAGAACTGGACAGGCATAAAACTTAATGTGCCTCTTTGGAAAAAAAAATGCCCCAGCACTTTTAGTCTGCAGTTATCACCAATTGAAATCTACTGTTATTTTGGCACACATTTTTCCATTTGATAGTGCAGTTTATTCTCAAAGCAATCTATATAATGATTATACCTCCATGTTAACAGTACAGTACTGTGCATGGATCCTGGAAAGCAAATCCTGCTGAGTTCAACTGGATTTAAGATAAGTGTGTATGC